TCTTGGATTTGGAAATCAAGAATGGCGATGCGGAGCAGGTGCGGCGCCTTTTCGAGCGCGTACTTGGTATCCGAGACGCCAAGAAGGGCGCTGCTGCTCCCATGGACGCTAGCAAGAAGCTCCGTCCCAAGCAGGCCAAGTTCTTCTTCAAGAAGTGGCTGTCGTTTGAAGAGAAGCTGGCAGCTGCTAATGGCGGTGATGAAAAGATGGTGGAGGAGATCAAGGCCAAGGCGGCGGATTATGTCAAGTCTCTGCAGAACGCATGAGCATTGCAGACACTTGTGTAAAGAGTTTAATCTTGTTTAGTTCTCATTGGGTGTTATGGGGTTATAGATGCATTGTATATACAAAAGCATTCGGAAGCCAAAAATGTCTTCTCGTCAATAAGCATAAAGACTTTGTATATGTGATGCGCAAAATAAATCATTCTTCTTTATCGATGGTATCTACAAGCCTCAAAGGGTATTACATGTCAAAGAGCCACAGATCAACGTCGCTTTTCGGCCATCAACCGCCGATACTCTTCCACGATAGTCCTCCGCTCGCTTGCCAGCTCCTCTCTGCGTCTCAAACTTCCCACAGCAGCAGGAACATTTGCGACATCGACTCGGGCTCCTCCGCGGACCTTGAAAACTTCCTTCGGCTTCGTCAATTGCGGCGGCGCCTGAACCACATCAAACGGGTTCGCCGGCTTGTTCATGCGATCCCGTTTCTTCAGCTTCGCCCACGGATCCGGGCCATCATCCTCCAGGGGGCCGTCGCCCTTCTTCTTTCTTTTCGCGGCAGCGCCCTTTTTCTTCGCCTTGCCCTGGGCAGCCTCCATCTCCCACTCCTTCCACAATCCCAACTGTTCCTCCATTTCGGCCTCCCGCTCCTCCCGCTCGGCCGCCTCACGCTCCACGATCTTCGCTTCCTCCTTCCGCCACTGCTCCTGTAATCGACGAAGGTGCTTCTCGTGCTTCGTCTGCCGGCCCTCGCGCAGCTTAGGCAGATCTGCCGACGCCGGCTTGTCCGATCTCTTCATTCTTGATATCGGCATCTCGCGATCGACCCGCGCAGCAAAGTCTGACAATTTCTCCCCCGGCAGAATCTTCAACTTAGACGTGCGCTCGGGTTCCGCAGCAGCGGTTGTAGATGTCGCAGCATTCGCGGTCTTAGTCGGAGTCGACGATGCAGCAGTCTTCTTCCGCAACGAGTGCTTTGTGCCCTCGGTTGCATCGCGCTTGCGCTTCTTGCTTCCTGTCTCGCTGGCGTCGGGTTTGGGTGGTGCTTGCTTGCCGCCGTTGGCTTGGAGCTGCATCAGCCGGCGGAAGGCGCGGGGGGTATCATCGTCCAGGTCGGACTTGCTGCGGGCAAAGGTCGAGGTGTTTTCTTTCTTCTTTGCGTCTTTGGACTTGGGGGCGGGCTTTTTGCCTTTGGTTTTCGGGGCGTTGGGATCGCGGGTCGGAAGAGGGTTCGCGATCAGGGTGGGTGGGAGGTCGTAGATGCTGTGGTGGGATTAGCTGTTGTATATGACGTTAGTTATCTAGGTGATTTAACACTCACCTCGAGTCATTTTTTCTTCTCTTGTGCTTGTGAGGCATGGTGGATTGTTGTTCTGTTGGTTGTGGTTGATAGAGACTGAGCTGAGATGGTCGACGAACTTTTTTTCCTTGAGCGGTTGGTGGCAGATCTAATCGCTATCGCTACTGATAAGGCTGCCTAGATCCGACAATCGTATAATACAATGTTACCTACATTCAAGGTCATTGAAGCAACCTTCTATAATTCCAGTTGTATGTTATCGACTTCCATGATAATAGCACCAATGTCCTTGATGATAAGGTGCTTGCCTAGAGAGTAAAATCCACAAGCGTGCTTTGAAATCCTATAGCACCTGTCAGACTCTAGTCATGTTCAGAAATAGCACATGTCAATGTTTGTCGTGTATAGGCTTGCTATGGCTACCTAGACTAAGGCAATAATGTACGATACTAAATGTTCTTCTATCATTATCAGGAAGAATCGATATGGACAATTGAATCGATACTGGTGGATTAACGCGGACTCCGTATACAGTAGTGACTACCTCCGTAAATTTATATTGCGACACTTTCTCCAGTCATGCGAGCAGAATGACTTTTCTGCTTCACTACTACCCTTCAGGACTGGAGTGGTTCGGCTCCAGGGACTGAACTGGACTAGATTGAATTCTAAATGCGCCATTAATGATGTTTAAGAGAAACGCTATTCGTGTAGCAAATGGCGCAGTGGGCGAGAGCCAGGCAGCAGAATTCGAATTTCGTTCGAGATTTACCAACAATATCCATGGGAACCAGCGGTTATTGGGAGCGATCAGTATCTTAGAGGGCCCTTTGTCGATCAGTTGCTTGTCCATCATTTATCTCAATGGTCGTCTCCCGAATGGTGGGGGCTGTTTGCGGCGTATCTAAACCATGTCACTAAGGATGAGGACGGACTTAGCACCAACTCTATGCTGAATCCTCCCAAATCATAAAATCCAAGCCTTCGTATGGAGTGAGACCCTTGGGCCTGAAAATGCGCAGAGACCAACGAAACCGGCACGGCTCGCCTCTTTTAACGGACATCTGGAACGGCTTCAAGCCTCTCGTCGGCCCACCGTCCAATCGTCGTCGGTATAGCTGCACATGCGGATGGGTCCATCCAGGGTCCAATAATCCCAGCGAGCCAGCGGCGACTCGAGACCCCAATCATCTTGACGGTTCCTAGAACTCTAGAAGATATAGCCCCAAGAGGGTAGCAGCAGTAGTAGTAGTAGTAATCCAGGCGTCCACTTTTCGGCAGAGGGTCCCAGTGCGCAATGCTTGACCTTTACCCCTCTCGAATTATAAATGCACACGAGACTGTCCTTGTACGATTTCCTGTCGAAAAAGAATTGACGGTGGATTGAGGCGGTGGTAGTTGGTGAGATACAAGTATCAGTCATGGGCTTCTTATCCGCCCGCAGAGGCCGCTCCCCGCAGTCCTACGAATTTGTCCCGACTTCCCCTTCCTGCGACGACCAAGACGAACTGCAACGCGATAAACCAGACACTCATGTTTCTATCGAGGACTCACCGGCAGACATCTCAATAAACGAATATCAATGTTCGGGCCAGGCCCGATCTCGATTCACATGGAGCCAACGACTGGCTGGGATTTCTTCGCTCTGCTCCTCAAATGAGGAGAAGCTTGAAGATGCTCTACCTTTGCTCTCACCGGCCACTAAACGCTCAAAACACTCATATACTGCGCATAGATGGTTCAAGAATCTCAGGGTATCCTATTGCTTGCTTTTTACCGTTGCGGGGGTTTTCATCATGCTGTGAGTACTTGTCCTACCCTACCATCACCGCCACCCATCGGCGCCAATGACCACTAATTGTTGTTCGAACCCATAAAGAGGAATCATTCAATTCATCTCGATAGTCTGTGGCATTGTGCTCTCATTTTTCCCCGACGAATTTGACAAAGCGGCCGGCCATTGGCGCCGCGTTCCGGACAACGACCTTTACGCAGACATCACACATTGGCCCACAGATATCTCGCGGGACATCATCCCTGTTGGGTGCCATTCACATAATGACTACTGGCGACGAGTACCCCTGTACTCGGCCTTGCAGGCGGGTTGCGTTGGTGTCGAGGCCGATGTGTGGCTTATTGACGACGAGCTCTACGTCGGCCATACCTCCACGTCCCTGACCGCGAAGCGCACCCTCAAGAACATGTACATCGACCCACTGATCAAGATCATTGAACGGCAGAATCCGATAACCCAGTTCCACCCAGCTCTCGATCAACCCCTACATGGCGTCTTCGACACCGACCCTTCTCAAACCCTCATTCTCCTCATTGACTTTAAAACCGACGGAGAAAAGACATGGCAGCGTGTAATGGAGGATTTGTCGCCTCTGCGCGAGCGCGGTTATCTCACCTACTTCAACGGCACCGGCCTGACCAACGGCCCAATCACTGTTGTCGGAACGGGAAATACCCCCTTCAATATGGTCACGTCGAACTCAACCTACCGTGACATCTTCTTCGACGCACCACTAAACCTCCTGGCTGAACACGAGGCTATCGCTCCTTCTGCAGACGCTGACGTCCCGCAGGACTCGGCAGCCACCGCCGAGCAACCTACCGGAAACGCCGGACAAGGCCTGTCAGGTATCTCGGCCGGCGACATTGGCCCCGACACCTTCAACTGGACCAACAGCTTCTACGCCTCTGTCTCATTCAAGAAGTCCATCGGGTTTCCCTGGAGGTTCCACCTCACAAACAAGCAGATGGATCTCATCCGGGCGCAGATTCAAGGGGCTCACCGTCGAGGACTCAAGGTGCGTTATTGGGGGTTGCCTAGCTGGCCTCGGAGTCTGAGAAACCACATCTGGAACGTTCTGGCGCGTGAGGGCGTCGATATTCTGAATGTGGATGACTTGCAGAGCGCCACAAAGCAAGAATGGAAGGTCAACATTTTAGATTGGTAGGATGTACTCTGTCGCGCTGGCTTTGAGATGGCTGCTGGGCGATCATCTTTGGCCCGACATCGGACGATATGACATGACATCGCTGCCTGTGCCACCTGGACGAGACTTTGGTTATGAATTTGACTTTATGGGGTTATATTTTCTGATTGGCGACATTTGCGAGTTCACGGCGTCGGTTCCGGATGTCCAATAGATGATACCTTGGGTTTGGTTTTCTAGTCTCTGTTTTGTCCCATTTCACGTTATAGATCAATATGATTTAGACTCGAAGAATCCATATATAAGAGGATGGTTGAGAAACGCTTGGATATATCCCGGCTTGGAGTAATTGTTCAGTTGAATAGATTATACCGATCAATGATAGAAATGCTTTGATGCAGGATGAGTCAGGGTATCAATATGTATCTCATCGTAATCTTCAGGCCCGCACTCGCCATCAACGAGTTACGTTGAAGACAAAATAACAATAAGTACTTTTTAATAGGGGAAAACAAAAGCGGAAAGAGACGAAGGTCACAGACACATCAAAGACTCTTCTCCAAACTCCTTGAGAATGGTCCCCTCGTCACGTAAAATACCACCGAGCCAATTCTTGGCCGTTTCGAAGTCATTCGCGCCAAATTTCACAAGGACGAAGCCTCCTCTTACTCGCGCAGCGGTAAAGGTCACTTCCGAGTCTGCATTTGGCGGCATCTCCACGGCCGCAGGGGCAGAGGACGACCAATTCCGAGCCCCGATACGCGGCTGCGACGTGAACCTATCCATAAAGAACGACGCTAAATCCTCAAACACAGGACCGTACAGAATCAGGGTACCTATGATCCCGTGGGGCCGCGTACGTTCCCGGATCAAGTTGTTGTGGCTGAAGGTTTCTGAGTCATTTTCTAGACATACTGCGTCGATCTCGTCGTCTAATATGATCGAGTCGCGGAGGAGTAGCTTCTTCTTGCCTGCGGCATCGTGTGTCCAGACTTCGTTCTTCCCTTTCCAGAGATGGAAGTCCCAATTCTCGCCTCGTGAGCTGCGGCCCTGCGTCACCCAATCCACAACACACAGGCTGCTTCTCTTGTAGTCTTTTGATGTCCCGTCGACGGTGAATGATTGTACCTGCTCGTAACGGCTGTCCTTGAAGGGCACAGCTGGGTCGGGAAGGTAACAGAGAGCGGCTTCGCTGGCGATCTGCACATTGACTAGCTGGCGGCTCTTGTCTGTTAATGCGCGTGCTGGTGCTCCACGTTGGCCCTTGACGCTTGCAGTAGGCTCTGTCTTGAAGATCTTGGTGCTTCCCTGCGGTGTAGTCACAACAAGTCTTGTGCGGGGATCCAACGTAATGGAGACATCAATGTGATCGCCTGGTAGAAGACCTCCGCCATACGTGAGAAGATACAGATGAACAGGTCGAGAAGAGCTTGTCAGCCCGGAGGACTGGGGCACGAAGCCGGGGGCGCGCGTGAGCAGCTTTAGTGGATATTTATAAGTCAAGGTCGTCAGGGTCGGGATCGAAGGAGGAAGGAGAGATAGAACGACTTTGCCTTGGCCTGGTTTGGCAATGGACGACTCAAAGGGTGATATTATTGGCATGGTGTCTTATCTTCTTCAACGAGTTCTAGGCAAAGGGGATTAGGATGTAGGGAGATAGGGAAAAGTAGACAGGCTAAGTGGCTGTAACCGCATGATATATCCGTATCTTGACGCAGACAGAGAGGACGCAACCAGAGATGCTGTGCAGAATGGCGTCATGAAGGTTCCTTTCATGCGCTCCTCCTCGCTCCAGGTCTTTTCTGGGGCAGCCAAAGAGCTGTCAATCTGTCCAGTCGCCAATCCTATCGCTTCCAAACTAGCAGCTGGAAGCGGGGTTCTACTGACCTCGTGAAACGGACGAAAGGCTGGAGTTCTTGGCTCTCAAATATTGAGCTTCAGATGCGGTCGTGACGGAGTAAAGATGGTTCTCATTACGGCATGATTATTCTCTTTCTCCGCATATGCAGTAGGGTTGGCTGGGGTCAGATGTCGCTAACCCCTGGCCGATCCCAAAATAGTATGACTAAAGTTAAGAGAGCTGGTCTGGTAATAATTGGTAATTAACTTCAGGTACCTTACGTACCGTGACAGCCAAACATAAGGTAAGGTATCTACGTTTGATATCTTTGAAAGCTTGTATGGCCTGAGGCAGAACTAGTTGCCTGAGTGCCTGGGGCCGCTAGGTAGGCCGCCGCCAGGCATCAAGGCGCGTCGTGCACGAGAGACAGTTCAATTCCGTGTCCCCTCATTCTCTCCATCTCGAGTCCCACTTTACACACCACATTCGGGCATTGTATCGCACATGGTGTCATTGTATATCTGAGAGGTAAGTGTATTGTTTCTGTGTCTGTTTTCGCCGACTTTTTCGCGCGAAAGCGGCAAACGCGCCTAGAGGGACTCGTAACAAGAGTGCTACATCGCGACCAATCGTTACGCCCATCGCATTCTGAGAAACATAGGGATCAACCCTTGTTCGAGTCCGATCTGTTCATCATCTTAATTTTCGCTTGTCAATGCTCGGGTCAGCTTATGCAGCTTACTGACTAATACTGTATTCTACAGCGCGCTATATTATCACCTACAAGAATGGAAAATGAGTCGCCTCTTTCGAGTCCCGAACCCGGGCTGACCGACCTCGATTCGCCCCAGGCATCAGATAGAAGAAAGTCCGGACGTGTATCGCGCAGACCCGAATTTCTTTCTCAAAGTTACAGTGATTCAAACCCCGGCGGAGCCAAGCGCAAGCGTGACACTGCCCGCGATGAAGACGAGGAGGATGTTGATGAGAACGACGCGTCGGAATCAGAAGAAATCAGTGACGATGAACCAGACGAAGAAGAATTGAGGGAAAAGAGACGCGCTGCGCGCAAAGCTTCCGCCAAGAAAGCCTCGTCTGGGACCAAGAGCAAGAAGACCAAGTCTCAAGCGACACATGCTGCAAAGAGACCTAAAGTCGCAGGCAATGGGGTTCCGAGTCAGTTGGCAATTCGCCCAGCTGTCAATGGCAAGAAAACAGTGTCGCGTCCCAGGAAAGTGAAACCACGGCCTAGTTTGGCCGCAGGACAAAGTGGCTTATATGGTAGGTGGCTTGCTTCCTCTTGTCTTCAACTTGCGCATCGGCTTACCATGTCTCAACAGCGGAGGTCTTTGGCAAAAACCAGACGGGCGACACTGTTGCTGCCGAATGGCTTACCCAGTATCAGAAGGATGCCAAGGCTGCGATGCACGCCATGATTAACTTCATACTCAAGTGTGCAGGGACAGATTTGGAAGTGAGCGATGCGGATATTGATGATCCAGACCACGCACCAGAGCGAATCAACGACTTGTCGACCGAGTATCATGCGCTAGGGATCTTCGAATATCCTCTCATTTCCAAAGCTCGGACATTCAAAGCCTTTCAACCCATTCTGGAAGACTTCTTCGCCGCGCTCGTACAGACTCTTCATCATTCTTCAGTTCTGTATAAGCAGCAGGAGCTTTACGAAAACCTTCAAATATGGTTAGCTGCCCTGTCCACTTCGGGATGTCGGCCATTCAGACATACCTCGACCGTCATCTCCCTCACGATCATGAACGCCTTGTGTGATGTTGCACGAGAAGTGATGACTACTGTCTCTACCTCCCGTAAACAGCTCGAGGCGGAGAAGAAAAAGAAGACGGTAAATCAGGGCAGAGTCAATGCGATTACTTCGACAATCGAAGAAGGCGACAGCAAGCTGGAGGCTATTGATGAGTACCTCAAGGATGGTGTCAATATCGTTTTCGTCCACCGCTACCGAGATATCGACGCCAAAATCCGCAGCGAGTGCATTGCGGGTTTGGGGCGCTGGATGCACACCTATCGAGAATACTTCTTCGAAGGTCAATTCCTTCGCTACTTTGGCTGGATTCTCTCCGATCCATCTGCCGAGACGCGCTCCATTGTCGTGACGCAGCTCCAGCGTCTGTACTCTAACAAAGATAACATTGCTGGCTTGAGGTCGTTCACTGAGCGCTTTCGCCAGCGCATGGTGGAGATGGCAGCTCACGATGCGGACGTTGGCGTGCGCGCCTCGTCGATCGAACTACTCGATCTTATTCGGGATGCAGGATTACTTGAGCCTGCAGATATTGACACCGTTGGTAGACTCGTGTTCGACGTGGAACCCCGTGTTCGCAGAGCTGCTGGTCCATTTTTCGTGGCCAACGTGGAAGATGTGTTCGATTCCACAACCGAAGAGGTCGGAGATGAGATGAATGAGATGTTTGGCGACGAAGATGAGGATGACTACGAGTCGCCCAAGCGCTCCTGGATCAAGTTCAAATGCCTGGTTGATATCCTTCAAGCCTATGATGAACAGGAAAACGAATTGGCCCCGGAGCGGAAGTTGTCCACGGCGCGGGATGCACTTTCGGGCGCCTCCTTAGACTCGCGGTATGTACTGGCTACGGAGGCCATCTACCCGCACTTCGCGGAGCTCTCTCAGTGGCAATCTCTGGCTGGCTTCCTCCTCTACGACCATTCCCAGATTCCCGACGATCCTACTGAGGACAATGCCACCGGCACGATCAAAAAACTGTATAAGATGCAGGAAGGGCAGGAGGTTATCCTCCTTGAAGTCCTCTGTTGTGCGGTTAAATTACGCATCCTCGACGTCGCCAAGTCAGACATTGACAAAAGAGGTCGTAAAGTGAAGGCATTGACAGACAAGATTCCCGAGCTTCAAGAAGAGATTGCACATAGTCTTGCCCAGATCATTCCACAATTGTTGAACAAATATGGATCGGTTCCGGAAGCGGCGTCTGCTGTTCTTCGACTTGAGCATCTGGTCGACTTGGACAAGATCCAGGATCTGCAAAAGGATGCTACCGCATACACTTCACTACTGAACGATATCAACAAGCAATTCCTCACGCACTCTGACCAGGATGTGTTGGCAGAGGCCGGTGTGGCCTTTTTACACGCAAAAAGCTCTGATGACATGCGAGAAGCCCTTGAGAGTAAGGTACAGGAGCTATGGGATGATATCATAGATGCCCTCGAGACTCTGTCACAAAAGAAAGAAGTTGTTGAGGGTAGCTCGATACCGTTTCCAACCCTGAATAACCTTGCCAACACGGCGATGAGAATTTTGAACCTGGCCAGTGTGACTGACTGCACACACGTCCTTGAGAAGAAGCCGGCATCTAAGTCCAAGGGCAAGAAGAAGGAAAATCTTGAAGCTCCCTTTAATGTGCTCATTCATTTGGTCAAACGTGGTCTGCGCGAGGAAGAGGAAGACGACGAGTCAGCCAAGGCGGAAACCGAGTTGGTGACCAGCAGTATCCGGACGCTGCTCTTCTACTTCATGTGGAAAGTACAAGCCTTAACCACGGCCTTGAGTGCAGGAAAGGCATCTTTCAATACGGCGTACTTTGAAGCTCTGACTAAGAGCCGTGAGGTGTTTGTTGCTAGTCTAGTCGCTGTCATGAGACAGCGCAGTGGTTTGGATGACATTCGCTTCACGGCGACCACAACACTGCTCGATCTGCAAACGTTGTTTGGTACGCTTCGTCACGCTGGGTTGAACACAGGCAACGATGAGGAGGTTATTATGCAAACCCAGAGTTTGGTTCACGAAATCGATTCGGATACACAAGCACTGATCGCTAAGATACACGGCATCGCGGAACGCACATATGCCAGGAAGTTACGGCAGCCTCTCGAGCCTGCAGAAGACGACGAGCCTGCCTCTGAGTCGGACGTCGAGCGGGAGCCTTCAGATGAGGAGGACGAAACAGGAGCTGAGGGCGAATCAATAGCGAACGAGCGTCTGCGCTCCACCATCCTAGCGGAGCAACGGCTGTGCGAGCTGACGGGTAAAATTGTCCTTGCCATCATAGGGCGCATCATTGACGCCTCAGGCTCGGAGCGTGGACAGTTGAAGCAGCGGCTCGTCCGGCACAAGTCCCGCCTAGGTCAGAACTACCGCGAGGTGTTGTCTTTCCTTGATGAACGCAAACCTAGAGTTATTGGGCCCCGGCCATCTCGATCAAAAGGCAAGCAAGCCGCCGCTGGAAACGCGCAACATGACCGGGCGAGTGCTACCAAGCGATCAAAAAATTCCAAATCAGCCGAGCGAGCTGATGACGATGATGAGGAGGAAGATCACGAACTTGGTGTCGAGGGTGAGGAAGACGATGAAGATGATCTTCGTGTCCGAGGACTTGTCGAGGAAGAGAATATCGACGAAGAACTTGAGGAGGAAGACGACAATCCCACTGCGCCAGATCCCGATGAGGATGAAGTGATGGGAGATTGATCACTCTATTTCTCTTCAATCCTCATCCTACCGATCTGCCGTTCCCCTCAACCTTCTTGTTTCTCCTTTATGTAAATTCTAACTTGCACTAAACGTTTTCTTCACGATAAGCCGGGCGCTTTTGCTGGATATTTCGACCCTCTCCTTTTCTCTATTAATTGCTATGACGACGTCTACGTCTTCACTTTAAACCAATTCGAAATCTGATTGTCGTCTTTGATTGAATGTTCTACTCGATCTATTTAAATCTCATTCCCCGATCTTTTCTCTTCGCTCATCTGTTTCTAATACCTGGAAATTCATTTCAACTTATGTCTAAGTAGCTTGTCGGAGCCAATCGCCTGAGCGGTGTTGTATCAATGCAGCTTGCCTCTTTGGAGATTGTACATTGTGGCGGTAGCTGTTTATGTTCTCTCTATTTGTCCTCGCAGGGAAGCCTTCCGGATTAGTTGGCTCTTGGTTTCCAAGTCCGAGAAAAAAGCATATTTGAAAATCAAGATGATCATTACGAACTACCGCTTGAGCGAACAGCATTTAGAGAGGTCTTTTTGCTTTTGTATTGAGACGGCATACTCCAGGTGCTGGGCCACTTCTAAAAATGAGGACACATGAAACTTCAGCCTACCAAGGGACCACACTCGAGCAGAATCACTTCCGAAAAAGGGAGTTTGAGTGAGAAATAAGTCAAATGACAACAAGGACGCCTGTGTATGAGGGATGCTTCGAGGAAATTGACGTGAAGGGGGCAACTATAGGGGCTACATGACGGTGAATCTTCTGCATCGTGAAAGGACAACAAAGGAAAACGTAAAGGAATCATAGCTGAAAACGGATGAAGGGGTAGAATAAGACAGGGAGGGAATTAACATAAAGTAAGCCTAGCTCGCAGGCTTGGGGGTTGATGACAGCAAAGAGACAGAGGCATGAGGTATTCCAACGTGATTGAGGTGAAGGATTTGAAACGTTATTCCTGTCCTAGAGAAGGGAGAAAAAGAGGATAAGATACTTTGACCGCCAGAGCCTTCGCAAGACGGGTTTACATATCCATCGAGTCACCGCCGTTGGCAAAGTTGAATCCGCCAGGCTGCTGCTGGTTGGTTCCGAGGGCGAAACCAGTTTGTGTTTGCTGAGGAGCAAGCTCATCAATATCACCGCCGGCCTCTTCCTCATCAGAGAAGTATTTCTCAATGATGTTGTAGGCCTTCATGTAGATCTCCTCGTTGGCATTGTTCTGGCAGTCGTGGATCTTCTCCATACCACCAGCCTCTTCGATGAACAAGGCATACCGATTGACGCGAGCCTCGCCAGTTTGAGCGGACTCTTTGTCCATCTCTCCGACCTTGAGAATGTTCTCCAAGCCATCCAGAGCAACCTGGATAATCTTGTTGTCCGGGCAAGCAAGGAGGTCGCACAGAGGCTTGATGCATCCTTGAGTAACAAGGTAGCGGATCTGGTCGGGCTTCTGCAGTCCACCTGAAGTGGCATTCGAAATGGCCCAGCAAGCTTCCTTGCGGGTCTTGAAGTCGCCGTTGGCAAGCAAATTGATCAGAGGAGGGATAATACCAGCGTCGATCACGGACTGGATCTGGCTAGAGTTGCCGGCAGTGATGTTGGAGATGGTCCAGCAGGCTTCCTTGCGGATGCCATCCTTGGTGGAACTCAAGAGAGAGAGGAGGGCAGGGAGGGCTCCGCAGTTGATGATAACCTGAGTCTGAACGTCATCACCAGTGACGATGTTTCCAACAGAGCGAAGGGCTGGGGTCTGAACAGAGGTAGAAGCGTGCATGAGCAGCTCAACCAGGCGACGAGGGATGCCGGCCTCGATGACTGCCTGAATCTTATCGTTGGAGCCGTCAGACAGGTAGGAGATGGCCCAGCAAGCATCAATCAGGACCTCGTCATCGAGCATATAGATGAGCTTGGCAAGCACAGGAAGAGCAGGGGCAATCTGGGAAGCGTTAGAAAATAACATTGTAATTATAGCATAACTTGGGAGAAACGTACTGTAGTCCAATCGGGCTGGGGCGTTTTGCCACGGCAGAAGTTGCTCAGAGTCCATGTGGCGTTTCTCAGCATGCTCAGCTTCCGGCCATCGTTGATGAGGTTGAGCAGAGGACGGAGAGCACCAGCGTTGAGCACAAAGTCACGGCACTGAGGGCTATCACCGGCAATGTTACCAAGAGCCCAAACGGCCTGTTCCCGAACATCGGGTTCGGGGCTGCTGAGAAGCTCAACGAAAATGGGCACAGCACCAGCTTCAATGACAACCTGTGTCTGCTGGGCGGAACCAGACGCAATGTTGGTCAGGGCCCAAGCGGCCTCGAACTGCACAAGGGTGTGAGGGGAGCGCAAGAACTCCACAAATCGGCTGACAACACCGGTCTCGATAACGCGTTCAATAGGAGGGTTGCGCTCCTTGGAGAGCAGCTTCCTGAATTTGGTTGTAGCTTGGATCTGCGACTCAATCTGGTCGGAGAAGACACCCTTGACCATCTCCGGGAGCTCCACGTTGAGCTAACACAAGAATTTTTCATTAGCCACCTATCCATTTTTCATGCAACCAAGTAAATAAATGGTGCATTGTATTGAGTCGAAAAGTGGTGTGTACGCGCCCCTCGATGGTCAATTTAGAGGGCGGATCCCACTTAGCCCAGCAATCGGGGCGGTGAAAAGGCCATCGTGGAGCATATAGTGAACAAAAACAAATAAAGACCAGCGATGAGTCTGGGGGACGGGGAGGAATGGAGAGAGATAACAAAAGTGTGCAGAACACAACTCGTAAGATATAGAGAACTAACATACCTCACTCTCAATAGCACTAGCTTCATCGTCACTCTCGGTGGCGGCCATGCCACCTCCTACGCCAATCCCGCCATCCCGGGTCTGAATACCTCTCCTCTTGGCCAAGTTTTCTTCTCTCTTCTGCTTTCGGATCTCGACCTGTTGCTCTTCACGGCGACGACGAAGCTCGTCAGGCCGGAACTGGTTCCTGGCCTTGAACTGGGTGCGACGATGCTCGGGGATGTAGCGTTCGGCCATGGTTGCTTGGGACACAGAGGGGTGAAAACAAAGCGCACCAAAGAAAGTGGGGAGCGAAGCTGAGATGAGGGAAAGATCTCAGAGAAATGAAAGAAAGAAAAAGAAGCTCTGAGATAAGCTCTTGACAGAAAACGTCAGAAGAGAAGAAATAGACTTTTGAGTTGTTGAAGACAAAAGGCGTCTTTTTTTGGAGGGGAGAGAGATAAGATGGGAGGATGCGTCTGTCTTGTAGAAGATGAAAGGTGTGTGAGGGGAGGGGAAAAAAGTTAAGTTGTAAGGCCGTGTCCTAGCGCCAGTCTTCGTCCCAGGCAGTCCAGAAGAGGAATTTTTGGCTCAAGTCACGGGACTTATTCTGGCCTGAGGTTTCATTTGTTTCTCCTGCCAAGCGCCACATCCGCCCTAATCGCATCAAGACGCGTCCATATTACGGAGTATCTAGATACTATACGGAGTACAATCAACCGTTTTCATATCATGCTTGGATAAACCCAAGCTTGAGCTCTAGCTTCAATTTTGATAAGGAATTTTGAAAGCTCTTGGCTTCGCTGCCAAACATAGCCCATGTCTTTCTCGATATAGCAGAGCTTACTGGAGCTCATTTAGCAACCAACCCAGAATCCATTTTCTACAGCAGCATGCACATTTGCTCTGCATCATAAAATCAAAATTTGAAGAAATGGCCAGCAAGTCGGCTGCTCCCCACGTCAAAATACCTACTGCCCTGTCCTCTTCGGGGCTTGTAAGTGTGATTGGGGTGGTGGTGGATGTCTTCGAGGGAGCCTTCCAGTCAAGTCGCTCCTGGTGTATCACATTCACCCTCAAAGACACTGACTTCGGCAACGGACACGTCTGGGATGGGCTGAAGATCAAGTACTTCAAAGCTAATCAAAGTCAACTCCCGCCTGTCCGAGTGCATGATGTTATCCTATTACGCAACATCACTGTAAGCGGTTTAGCACTATGAACAGTACAGCATTACTAACGGACTGACCTGCAGATAAGAAAATTTAACGGAAGACCTCTAGGTGTCGCACCTGATGAGACTACTGTCCCGTGGGCAATATTCCGTCCAGAGCCAGGCTTCGTGGACATTTCTCCCATCTGTGGTCCGTTTGCTTTCGAGCCGTCATATTCGGAGAAGTCGTACGCATTGTCTTTGATAGACAAGAGCTCTAACTTCAAATCCTTCCGCAACGCTTCAAAAGAGAAAACTGCTCCTCCAACTCTACGTTCAGTGAAATCTGTAGTCTCTGCACCCCAGTCAAATGCCAATCGAAGGTTTTCCCTCATCAAAGATGTCGAAGAAAGAACATTCGTGGATCTCACCGGTGAAGTAGTCAAGATTTTTACCAATGATAGCGAGAAGGTCGCTCTTTATCTTACTGACTACACCACGAACGAAGGGCTTCACAACTACACCATTGACGCCAACAATGCTCGTGAAGGAGATGAGTATGCTTACCTACCGCGCTCCAAGAAACAATGGCAAGGTCCTGCTGGTCGCATGACTCTCCAAATAACTCTCTGGGATCCACATGCCTCCTTTGCCCGAGAACATCTCAAGGAGGGCAGCATTGTTCGATTGAGAAATGTCCATATTAAGCGAAGTCGCATAGAAGGGACTCCATTGGAAGCGGCTATGCACTGCGATCGTCAGAACCCCGATGAAATGAACATCCGTTTGATCGACGCTGAGAACGATGAGCGCGGCCGAGAGTTGTTACGCCGCAGAAAGAGTTATTGGGAGAGCGATCCGCGAAAGCGGAAAGCTGAAGAGATGGAGGAGACGTCTTCCAGTCGCAGCAAGTCCCAGAAAAGCCAAAACAAGACAGCGAGAGCGAAAATAGAAGAAGGTCAAACCTCGCTCTCGTTGTCTAAAAAATACGAAATCAATAAGACTAGTAAGTTCATCCTCTCCAGACCGCAACAACCAGACCACAACCAGACCTAATCAATGTTCGGAAACAGTTCAGGCATCAAACCCATCCGTCAGATGCACGAATCTTGCGGACATCTTAGACGGCGAGTTTCACGAAAATATCTCGCCTAACCAGATTGAATATCGCGTTCCTTTTCAAAATGTCTGCTATCGTGCCACTGTTCGCGTGGTTGACTTTTTCCCTCCAAAACTAGAGGATTTCGCCGTTCCAGATGAGTGGGATCATAAGCCGCGTCCTGACGCCGAGATGGATGAAACACACAACTCCCACCACAGCTCCAACAGTCCAGGTCGTTCGATTAGATGGCAATGGCGGTTCTGCCTTTTGGTTGAAAATGTACCGCCTCATCCACACGGGAAGTCCAGAGAGCGAATGAAGCTATTTGTTTCTGGAGCTGATGCTGAGTATCTGCTCAAGCTTGACGCCGCCGAGTAAGTCATCACCATATCGCGTTCTTAAGCTACAGAAGGAGAGGCTTTGGGTATTCTAATTGTACGTTCATTCAGTTTGCGGAAAAATCTTTCCAAATTAGGTCGGCTAAGAGAAACGCTGGTCCACCTTTGGGGTAATCTCGAGGAACGTAAACAGAAAGCTGCTAGCAAGGATGGCTCGAATTCTCAAGCTCTGGGTCCAGTTTCCTCACTCCCGTTTACTTGCTGTATCAAGGAATACGGAGTCAGATGTAGTCATGAGAAGGCCACAGATGCTGGTGAGATGGACGACGGCACTGGCTGTAGTCACGAGACCTGCTTTGGCTGGGAAAGACGATTCGCCATGTTCAATACAACTATCCATGCCTAGCCGTCTGGTATTCTGACTTCTATTTGAAATTCATTACACCTTGGAGATTTGGTGGGGATGCACCTGGATACCATTTTTGTCCAGGGCCATCGAAACCCTGTTATCCTACAACACGCTGTCGCATAATGATCGTTCATGGCTAATTGTGATTCCTTTGCCTGTATTATCTACCAAAGATGCTCCTCTCACCCATAACTGGTTACACGATTGTCCTACATTTGAAGTCTAGCGATGGGCTCCTAGATAGGTCATCCTGTCGATCGTGTCGTTTCCTGGTGACCGCGGTGTTTTGGGTATGCGATACTCTTTCAACTTTAGTATCTAGTGTTGGAAAGAGAATCTTTGTGACGCGGTTGTTGGACACTCACTCAATCATGGAAGCTATTATGGCAACTTTTTGAAGTCACTGCCCGGGGGATTAGACTCAAACTTGATTTATTCCCCGAAAATAACGTGCTCGATTCCGACCGTCATATTTTCAGAGATACATACATTGAGCTTATGCCTGGCTAAAGAACAAACTCAAGTTAAATGCCGATACCAAGGGAATATCAAGTGATCAAGTCCAGGATGCGAGGCAAAAGAAGAGAATCGATCAATGGACGTGACGAAAAGTAAATGCCACCATTGCATCAAAACCGACCACACTGGCCGGTGAACATATTTCACCCTCGATGTCAGAAGCAGCAGAACTCGATTACGCCGTATCAACCTTGCAACTCCAGAAGCATGCCAGTGTACCGAGCGTGTGGCCACAATTGCACAGACTGCGAATCTGTCCAAGATGTAACGGTGAGGTTGGATCATATTTTGGTGACCTTGACAATTGTCGTATCTATGCCATGGGCGGCGGCATCAAATCGGCAAGTCGAACCCCAGACGCAATCCTTCTTGCCTGGCTCGCTATGAGGGCAACGATGTCCGTACATACAGTCAGGATCATCGCAGTCAGATTTGTAGCGACAAGGCGTCATGCGTGCAACGACCGTCAGGATATGGTGCTCGCTTTTGGTTAATTTGCGTGAGTGATCGTGATGGCAATCCTCGTTGGGGCATTCGCCCTGCAAGTAGAAATAGTTGCAAAGCTTCAGCTTCTTCATGCGATTCAAATCATCCTTGGGGATCGTCTTGATATCAAAGCGATCGACACGCTGGCCGTACTTGTTCCGTTCGACGATCTTTGGAGGTGGCGAGCTCGATGCCTTAGAGCGAACGGAGCGAACAACAGGTTGGAATTCTTCGGATTTTGGCAGTTTCCGCGACGAGGTCGACAATGCAGGACTGTTACTTGTCATCGTGGTATTTGTGGACGTTTTCGAGAGTGGTGTTGCATGCTGAATTGGCGATGGTGTAGGGGAGGAACGGGGCTTGGTCTCCTGGGGAGCCCACGCCGATGCAATGTTCGTCTCTCGGAAGATATGAGTAAACTTTGCGACTCTGTAGGACGGCTTCATCGCCCTCATGTCTCCCTGCAATGGAATGCCCTCTATGAGAGTCACTCGCCCTATGTACTTGTAGTCCACCATTGTTTCTCTGAGAAACCGAGCATACGTATCATCATGTGAACAACCGAGCAAGATCTGATGACAATGACAGTTGTTTAGATTGCGCTTGAAGATCTCTGGCCAGCCACTCTATTAGAACCACCACAGAGCCAATCCAACCTAAAAGCAGGCTGCACAGGGCAATCAGGACTGCATCACGTACCTTCAATCTTATCACTCACTTTATTCTTGCCAGCGCCAACATCGATGATATCGGAAAGCAAACTATTGCTATTGAAGCCTCGAACAAATCCCTCAAGTACCGAGAGCTCTGATTTGATTCCTCCTTGAATGCAGAGGTCGGCCAATCCCTTGACATTCATATAGATCATTGTCACGATCTTGGGTGAGGCAACGTTTGGGAAATGAGTGGTAATGTAGTCTTGCAACGCAGTTGAGAGCTCTTTTGCTGCATTTTTTCCACCTTGTTCACCCTGCTTCAGAAACTCCTCCTTGAAAATGAGGCCATGTCCGTCCAGAAGTACAATCATATAGGGTTCACGATGCTACAGTGATAGCGGAGATGTTGTTAGACGGAGACTAAACTGAAGGCTTTGTCATAGCTCACCATGAGTGCGTTCATTCTGGTGATTTCGTTCATTAACTCCATCTCATGGATCTGAATCTCACGATTAAAATGCTTCTCGCGTTCATGGTCAAGTTTCTGGCGCTGAAGAGCATTTTCAAGCTCTGCCACTCGTTGCAGAAGCTCCTAGTTTAAGAAAGAAAACAGTTAATATGAAAACTCAAGATGAAGCGAAGCTGAGATGATTACCTCAATCAGGCTGTTCTTGGTCTGCTCTATAGACATCACCTGTCTATAGCGCTCAGCGTAGGCCTGAGCTTCCATGGTGAACTATGGCGGGTCCAATGGATAAGGTAGTAAGGTAGCTCACTGCGCCGAGAAATGTTGATGATAGTACGGGGTACGGGGTATTAGAAGAGTAAAGAAAAGGTCTAGAGACGATGCAAAAGTAATCAGATCTAAAAGTACTTATTTTATGTTATCATTCACTGTTCTAAAGGAAGGTTGTAGGGGTTGGAACAGGAATCTAAAAGCATTGAAATTCACTAGACTCAAGTTTCACTTCTGATGACTCTCAATGATAAATATTCAATGAGGAAAAATATGAAATATTTACAGTTGCTTTTCACTTTCCCTGTGTTTCATTTGAATTTAGCCATGCAAGCAAGAAGTAAAGCATGGTACTTTTCTTTGAGCAGTTGATAAACAGTGGTAGGAAAGGGACCTAAGCAACGGCCAATCAGAAGCTGCATACTGTCTTAGATGAGTCAGCGAGCACATGGGGAAGTTCCCAACTTGTGACTACGTGGAGAAAAAGCACCTCAATTCCCCCTTCCACTGTCCTACCATTTCCACTCCACTTCCCTTTCCTCTTCATCCCCTCTCTTTCTTTCTTCTTTGTTTTATTCCCTTCTTACCTGTCTGAGTACAGTCTTCTACTACCATGGCTCGTTTCGGTCTTCTCTCGCTGGCATTGTTCTCTGTCCAGGCCCTCATCGGCGGTGGTCTCGCAGCTGTATGTCGCGAATTGTAGTCTTGCTATCATTCTAGGTCAATTGAGTTACTTACATGAATAAACCACCTCTAGGACGCTGCCGAGAATGCGCAGGACATCCCCGAGGTCCAAAATTTGGCTGTATCGGCGGAGGCTTCCTTCCCTGCTTCCGAGATCTTCGGCGTTAAGCTTGTCAATGGTCACCCAACACAGGCATTGATCACTTTCACCAATGACGAACCTGCTCCTGTGACCGTCAACTTTATTGGTGGAACTTTGTCGACTCTCGATGAAAAGAGCCAGATTGTTCGCAACCTGACTGCCACCAGATATGGTCTTGAGATCCCCGCTGGCCAGAAGGAGAGTGTTAGCTACAGCTTCGCCACTGAAATGCACCCTCAGGACCTGAGACTTAGCATCGCTTCCATCATATCCGACAGCGAGGGAAGATTCTTCACTGTCTACGCCCACAATGGCACCGTCAGCGTGGTCGAGCCCGAGACCAGCATCTTCGATCCCCAAATGTGAGTTACTCCAAAATCCCGTTCGCGGTCAGGTACAGTTGGCTTATTGTTTATGACCTTAGTATCTTCCTCTACTTCTTCCTCCTGGCTTGTTTCGCTGGTACCGCTTACTTCTTCTACACTGTCTGGATTGCGCCATACTTCCCTCAGAAGCGCAAGGGCGGAAAGGCCGCCGAGTTCTCCAAGAAGTCTTCTGGCGCATCTAAGAAGGCCGAAGAAGGACCTAGCAGCCCCGCTGTTTCCTCCGCTACCACCTACAACGCCGAATGGATCCCTGCTCACCACATCAACCGCCCTGAGGCCAGAAAGGTCAAGGGTAGCTCCCGGTCCAAGAGCCGTGCCTAAAAGCCTCGAGGTGGATAAGGTGGCTGTGGCACTGATGATACTTAGTGGCTGCGTACAGGCCGTCTATGGTCTCGTTGGCGAAGGCCAGAGTGGACCGACTCGAGGCAAGAGATTACTGAGAATGTAATCGGCCAAAGAGGTTCAAGCGGCTTCTGTGCAGGATAGTAGGTGTATATTTATGATAAAATCCATCAGATAATGTTGGCATCTGAAAGCCAAGCCTGTTACTACCAATTAAATTACTATACTGGAGCTCATGCTCAGCAAGTTGACGATTTCGGCCGTTTATGACGTACGGATGGAAACTGAGAATTTGATGAAACTTCTAAAGCTCAAAGTTGTTTCCATTCGTTGAACTCTGCTTCAAGGTGGCTTTTCAATTCGGCGAATCTATTGCCGAAATCCCTCCCACATCGCCAACATTTGAAATCTCTCCGTAGATACCCTTCTCTGTCTGGATGTCGCCTTGCATCATCTTTGGCGAGGGGGAAATCCTCGATGTCGACAAAGAAAGGGGTTGAGAAGCTATTATAATGCTTCCTGTGTTTCGAGCGATCGCTATACCTGTCCACGGAGATGATATGTATGTGTAGATGGTTCATAGACGGGTGCGCGTGGATGCCACACATGACCTCTTTCTCCCAATCTCTCCCCTGCGGTAGCACATCAGGCGGCGGGTCTGCATTCAAAGCATCCTGTCTCTCTTTGTCCTGGGCTGAATCTTTCCCGTACTTGCGCCTCAGCTCGGCCGCAGCCAAAGTGCGAAGCTTCCCCGTTTCTGCCTTTACTTTGCTCAGGAATTCTAGGTCTTCGAAGGCCTCAAATGGATGAAGCTGCGTTTTAGTTGGGTCACGAGGAAGCAATAGCAAATGTAACGTAGATTTGGGGAACATGTCATGAATTACGACAAAATCATCGTTGTAGTATACCACGACGTTGGACGGGTATGACTCTGGCTTTTCGATGTAGGCGCCCAAACCGTCACGCGCGCCAAACCTCTTCTTGATATTCGTTTTTGAGGGGGCATGGCTCGCTTGTTTCTGTTGCTTGTTCTTGGGTGATAGAAGCTCTGAGACTGGGATGCAAGTCAGTTGTAACTTTTTATGGAAAGAAAGGAATCAGGTCACGCATGGTACAGGCATCTCGTTTCGCTGGTTTCTCTGCCCGCGATGTGGAAGTCATCGCCTGCGCTGTATCGGCATGCTCTGTTTCGAGGATCGGTGATTCACCCGACATTGTGAACACGACGGTGTTTGACTTATATAGGCTTGTGCCAGAGTGAGTTACTAGTGAACAATCTTAAAGCAATCACAATCAGTTGATCTGTGGCCATGATCGTTCCTGGTTTATTAGCATTAGCAAGATGCGGAGAGCGGGAAGCTTTGCGGTCCCCACAGCTTCTGGTAAAGCTAGCATATTTCAAAATTGGGTGTCAGTTCTTGGCGCGATTCCATATTAAATTTTGCGTAACTGTACTTTTTTTTTCCCTACAAGCCTATTATGGCTATTTTGATGATTTTAAAGCTATATAATGCCATGATAAACCCCTATCTTTATATATCCATGGCATTAATAATTTCTAACTAAGTAGTTAACTACAGAAGCTACTACCTCCCCCTAATGTATCCCTAATACCTAGTCACCTACACGACCTACCCCCTAAGTAATACTCCTGAATAGTGTGATATTTAATGCTGGGATGAGATATCTAATATAGTGAAGGAGTGCTAGGTCTCTAAGCATACTACAAGTATGCTTGTAACTTAATGAGAAGGAAAAAATAATGATTAGGACGGGTGTATATGAGAAATATACAAAAAGAAATGACCAGTGCCGGGCTCGATCCGGCGACCTCATCGGTGTTAACGATGCGAGATAACCAGCTACTCCAACCGGCCAATTGTTGAAAAATAGATGTAATTTTGACTACATAAGCCTATTTATTTTTTTCCGACGATATTTCCTGAATGTAGCGGCGAACTGTGTACTAGGTAGAAAACAGAGGTGTCTACACCTAGGAAACCTTTTGAACCTTGTATTATTTTAAAGTGCAAGGGGCGCATGAGCAATATGGCATTAACGAAGCAGAAGGAATCTCGTGGCCCACATAATAGAAACAGGTGCAGATATATATTTCAATCCCATCGTGTCCCACACGAGCTGCATCTATTGATTAAACTGGCGAAACAGGGCCACAGCTCAACGAAACAGATGTACTGGGCAATGCCTACAGACCACTGCCATCGAGAGTCTAGCAGAAAACCTCCAATTTCCACGCACGTTGGATGTCCACGAGGTTCCATCACCCCAAGGAGATAGCGCGGAGATTCGACAGCTTATGAATAACTTAAGTTCTCGTTCTTCTGGATAAGCATTTCGTATTGTTGTCCCAGAGCAGTTATATTATCAAAGGGGCAAATAGGACAAGGGAATTCTTGTGTATAAAGCCCTCAAGCCCCTGATATATACCGACATCTGACTATACTGTTCGAACCATTCGAACCACCATGCTCCACCCCCAGCCCTTCAGAATACACCCCAAAAGCCACGCAGCCATGGCGTATCTTGTTATCAATATATTGCAGAGCATAAGAAACCAGAGACGCATAGATGGACCGAAGACAATGGCTTCTATGACCCCGAGATTTCCTATTACCTGATGCTCCTCCACGTCCCACGCCAAGTGGGATGTCAGCGGAGAATCAAGTTAATGTCACTTCGTAAGACTACTCTCATAGCTCTTTATGTCACTTCTGGTATCAGCTAGGCAATGGTGATAGGCTAGCAATGCCGATGATGACCAACGGTCACATAGATTATTCCCAATTGAGCGGGCTGACTGTTGAGCCATATATGCCTGTTATATGGAATTTAGACACTAATTACAGCCGCATACTATTTGAAACATGGTCATTCGGCTTATGCAGTCAAAAAAGGCAGCGTGTATCAACAACTGGCCGGTTGGGGCATCGGCCGACGAGCTCGCCGAATCAAGTCTGGCACTGGTCATTGACATTCAGACATTCGGACTTCTCGATCGTTGATAAGGTGGTATTTTGTTATGCTCGGCTTGACTCATCTGCTATAGTCTGCGTTATGCTCGGCTTGACTCATCTGCTATAGTCTGCAGATAGCTAGATCTTCTCGGTTGGGCTGCCTGTGAACGTTCCGCAATTCAACTGTTGATGGTTGTGGTCCCACCGTTGGTATAAGCTATGAACTGATTAACTCGTGAATTTGTAGCAAAGGTGATGTGCACATAGCTTCGAGAAACAGAGTGATCCAATTATATGGAACAGTCAATGCGAGCATACTAACATTATGTGAGGTCCATATGCGTAGGTCTAGGGAGTAGCTGACCTGCTTCTTGGGACGATTGATTTATCTCGTACCATGCTACAAGGGAAAAACCCCCGCCACAATCATTCTAACTATTTGTTTGTTTGCTATGGGATATCCAAGCGCCGGCGTTTGCTTTCCTTTACCATCCCATGCCTACTACCCACCGTCCGTGTAAACATTCACCAATTCGGCTACATTCGTAAGGAAGAACTTATCAGGATAGGTGATATTGGCCCTAATCACGTCGAGAACCACAAACATCTCATACATTCTGATAGCAGAGCCTGATTAGAGAGTGCATGCCTGATTGTCACCACCATGCAGAGCACAAACAAAGTCAACAAGCGCGATGATCCCTATCACTTCTTTGGTGACCTTTGGCTTGAATCCCCCGAGGAGCATCTCAGCAGGGAAGAGTTATCCCGCCTGATGGCATTCGAGCCTCTCATCTGCGACTTGGAGAATCGAACTCAAGGTAAGACAATATGATTGTGTGACCAGGGCAGCCATTTCAGGTAGCTAACTCTACAATGCGTGACAGGCTCAGCACATGATATACGCAACGCATTCTCGAACTTTGCCTTACGTGAAACAGAAGCATGGGAAAGTCTCGGAGTAGAAAGGTCTTCAAAACTACTGGTACAACCCAGTGGCTATGTTGGTGCTGTTGTTGCCTGTCACCTTCACAATCCTACCTTCTACGTGAAGGACCCATACTGTCAAGAGACAGAAACCAAGTCAAATCCTACAATTCAGCAGGTCAATCAAGCCGGTTTTTCATCTCAAAATTGTTTCATCTTCGATCACATCTGTCGCCGTGACAGAACAGAAGACGTGCTGCTGTTTTATAATGACAAGATACTTGGGATCCACGAAGACTTCATGCTCTCTCTGAGGAGACAAATGGGTGCTAAAGTCGAGATATGCTGGGGACGACATGTGCGCGAAAGGATGAAGAAGCTTGTTAACCTTGTTCCCTTCAAACTCTGGGGTCGGTTCCAAGATGTGGAACTATACCTAGAATTAGAGGACCAGAGGCTCATAAGATTCGTTATCTTTGTGGCACACCCACAATTCTTCTTTTATCATGGGTTTTCAACGGAGAGTGGTGTTCGTTTCAGGGCAACGTCTGCAAAAAAACAAGACCTATACCTGACAGTCGCTAGCAAGCTGGGTGGCATCGCAATCAGGGAGGATTTCTATGAGACCATCCATCGTCCTGCCCTTTATGGGCAGTTCACCCGGGAACATAGGGAAATAGTCAACCGATTAGAAGCTGAGGCTGATTCACAGCTAAAGAAGGCATTCCCACAGAAATACCATCAGCTTGAATTGGCAATGGAAATATGCGGAAAGAAATCCTGTGACGGGGCGCTCACACAACAATCCATATCACAACTGATAAGAGGGGACACCATAGAAGAAGTATATGCTCTACTGAGACCTCGCGGCTGTTCCACCACTAATATCTAAACAGGAACTACGGCGATCTCAGCATATCCACAACATGACTCAATCTTTTCTCGAGGCTGCCGGACAAGTCCTTATAGGTAGCATTAATATTCGCAATACAACTCAGCTTCAGCTTCTGTCAGAGCTTCCGTCTGATTGGGACAATATTTCAGAGTGGCATGAGATCCCGGATTCACTCGTTGAATGGATTCAACAACAGGCTGGCCTTCAGATTGACCAGAAGCCGATTTCATCCAAAGACGAGCTTCTGACAGCATTCTACCTTTTATCGCCTGCCAATCACGGGCAGTCTCACGAGTCCCTTATGCGTGTTATCGTCAAGGTGGGAATATGGTACATTACCAGGGCGCAAAAGAAAAGGCACGAGAGTGTTGTGGATCTGATCATCCCTGGCGCAAGGCCTTACGACATTGTCCGCAGAAAATGTTCAAAATGTGGCGAAAGAGTCCTTGATGATGCCTTTGCTTCTTACGCAAAGGAAGACCCGAAGAAGTACGTCATTTGGTATCGTCTACATGGATGTGGCCGTCCAGCCTGCAGTTCTGCTGTAGATGGTACCTATTTCGCAAACCTTATCCCGCTGGACCCAAACCAGGGCTACAAAATCGCAACACGCCGGAGCCTCCAGCGTACGCGGTCGGCAGACTTGGAGGAATACCTGCTGCGTCTGTCGGAGGATGAACGAAGGGCCACGCAGAAGGAGGTCCAAACCCGCTGCAGAAACTGTGGGACTGGAGAATACCTCGACAAAAAACCCAGGTGGACTGCCGAGACATCATCAAGGTATGTCATCCCAGTCCGGGGATGCAGGGTTTGTAAGAAGAGGTTCTGTTCATTTGATCCGACGGACCCAAACATTGCCACCATATCAAAGGTTTCACTGAGCAAGAAATGGAGAGAACTCAAGCAAGCTGGTATCGACCCAATCGATTATCCTCGCAGGCCAGAGATATTATGGTCACATAAATCGCACCTTACAAAGCGCAAGGAGTTGGAAAGGGAAAGAGACATGCTTTTGGCTAAGGAGGAGGCTGAAGTACTGAGTCAAGAGCCGAAGAAGAGGAACTTCAACTCAAAAAGAAGGCTGAAGTCTTAGGCAGCTGTCGACATAGGAAGATTGTGCAGACTACCCCCGTCCCCTCGGGCCTGTATGCGGTACAAATTATGCTGAAGTGAAACCAGAGAAATTCCTGGGTTCTGTGACGAAAGAAACGATATGTTCAGGTTATTAGGCTGACTGTAGTTAAAATTTATGAGCATGCGGGTAGCTCTAGTCGGTGGTACGTAGCAATAGTTCAAGTACTCCGCAGTTTTGTCCTAGCCATTGCACTGGTCCATGACTGGTTCGTTTGTTGCATTTGGGTTATAAAATCAAAAAGAGACAACTAATTCAACAATTGGCCGGTTGGAGTAGCTGGTTATCTCGCATCGTTAACACCGATGAGGTCGCCGGATCGAGCCCGGCACTGGTCATTTYTTTTTNYTTTTCTWCTYCATAAGTAAAGTCGGTTTATAATAATATTATTATCATATTTCTCTCAACAACTGGCCGGTTGGAGTAGCTGGTTATCTCGCATCGTTAACACCGATGAGGTCGCCGGATCGAGCCCGGCACTGGTCATTTTTTTTTTTTCTTCTTCTTCCTGTCCTATGTCGTCGTACTATCATGTACTCCGTAGGGATGCGAAATTTGATTTTCCTGCTGGCAATAGCGCCATGAAAGCGTCATGTGCGCTGATACATCTCAATGCATCCTCCCCAACCACAAGCTAGGACTCAACACCATCAGTATGAGTTGATACGAGTATTGTTCGGTGTAGGGGCAGTTAACCCTCCCAACTCTTCCCAGATTCTGTGCCATTTATTACAACATTCTGTCACATAGGCGAGCATATGCCAGTAGGACAAGGTAGGTATCGAGTAGTATTGCCCGCCAAGTCCCTGGAGGTTTTATTCCAACGATGGTTGAATTGTTTGGATGGGAGATATGGTGTTTTTTATGTCCTTCAGGCATAACCTCTCTATGTGGATTCATGAGTTGGATACAAACTGGTTTGCGGTAATCAGCATTCGAGTAAGTGGGCACCACCATGCATGTACCTGACCTATCCACCATTTTCCCTGTTGGTATGATACTGCTTTATGACAGATATGTGTTCATCCGAGCCCAGTCCTGTCAGACAATATGTTGAACGGGCCTCATTACAAGGTTTAGAATGGTGAGGTCAAGAGAAGGGCTTTGATTGCACCTCCACTTTGGACCACGCTACAAGCCTAGAGGGATTTTTCGAATCCGCTCCGCAATTGGAGACACGAGGTTGAGTTCTCATTGAGTGGAAATGAACTAGCCTGAACTTAGGTTACTGTTATTTGATGGGGCATATAAAAAGGAAGACAGGCAAAAAGTAATGACCAGTGCCGGGCTCGATCCGGCGACCTCATCGGTGTTAACGATGCGAGATAACCAGCTACTCCAACCGGCCAATTGTTGAAGATATTGGTTCTTATTTGACAACAAAAACCAACACAAACACGAGACAAAACTATCTAGGAAGTGGTTCTAGTGCGGGACAGCCTTTTTTGCCTGCCGCAGATCAAGACCGCGACAATGACGCCGTTCGGCATCCCTGCAATTCAATCACTGAGTGTTTGCTCCTCGGGCGTTCTGCCTAGTATAAAGCAACACTCGCACAATGGGTCCCAAGAAGAAGCCCGACGCCCGTGGAGTTCCCAAGCCCGGGACAAAGCAAGCCAAAGCCGCCGCAGAGCGATCGGCTGAAAACGCGAAGAAAGCGCAGGCCGCCACGGAGGAACCGAAGAAACCATCTGTGAAGGAGGTCATTGGGGGTGCATCATGGACTGGAAAGCTGCCGGTTAATATGCTCGCGGAGCATTGCCAGAAGCAGAAATGGGAGAAACCCGAATATACAATGGTGAGTGGATGAGCGCAAAGATTCTAGGGCGCCTTCGTCTGCTGTGCGCAGTAGCGATGCTGACAGGATATCGCACGTTCATAGATCAAAACTTCAGATGGCTATGTCTCTTCAGTCATATTGAAACGGATCGACCCCAAGACTCGAGAAATGGCCGTACTTCCTCCCATGAAGCCGCCACCATCGCACAAGCATTTGGCGGCTCGGCCTACCGCGCTGGAAGCTCGCCATTTCGCTGCGGCGTACGCCCTGTTTCGAGTCTGCAACATGAGGAACCTACATATGATGCTCCCGCCTACCTATAAGAAGTTGTGGAAAGAGAACTTCACGGACATTAAGAACGCGGATGCCAAGGAAGGAAAAGGGTGGATGTACGAAGCCGATCCATTCTTAGCGAAGCAAGAACGGGAAAATGCTGCTGCAGATCTAGAAAAGAAACGAAAAGAGCGAGAAAAGGCGCAGGCGAAAGAGAAGGATACCGCTGTCGACTTGGGTGTAGGCTCAAGTGGTGAAAACAAAGGGAAAAGGATCTGGTCACAAGCTCCAAAAGTTGATCTGGGAAATAAAATTCGCCGTGAACTTGAGAAACTGTTGCGACAGCATACGATCTGGAATCCCTACAACGTACAGATATCGGAGGCTGAGCGCGGAGCTATCATTGAGGAGTTTCTTGGTTTGGGCTTCCGACGCAGTCATGTTGAAGAGGCTACCGCTGCCTGTAAAGATCGGGAGGAGGTTCTTGAGTGGCTTCTTATCTACGTCCCGGAGGATGACCTCCCACGGTGGTGTCTGCCCGAGAGATATACCGCCGGCGTGACCCTCGCCAGCGATGATCTTGCAAGGGAGGCCAAGATGAAACGGCTTGCCTCTTTTGGATATTCGGCTGATCTGTGCGCTCAAACTCTGGATAGCAAGTACGGTGATGAGCTCGCAGCTGCAGAATTTTTGCAAAGCACTCTAGTGCACGGTGAAAACCATTCTCTCGACTCGTTGTCCGCAGGGAACGAAGACTCCTGGGCAGAGGAGCAAGATACACTGGAAGCAATCTTCGGAGAACGCTACAAACGTATATCGTCCAAAGTCTGTGAAATCAAGAGCGAGGCACCAAATCTTCCTGGATCTCTATCTTTTCGATTCCAGAAGCCTTCTAGGGGTTATCCATCTTCTGTGCCTGTTATCGCCATTCAGGGAACTGGTATCCCGGCTTATATACGGCTCAGCGCGATACGGCAAGCTGTACAATTCGCAGAGGAAAACTTCCTGGGAGAGTCAATGATTTTCAACATAATGGACTGGCTAGAAACACATCTACCAGGGATCATAGAAAATCCAGGCAAACTGCGAGACATTTCAACAGTAACGGCCTCTTCACCTGCAGTTGGCTCATTCTCAAGGCTCCCCGTTCGTCAGTCACGCAAGCAAAGCAGAAAGATTGATTGGAACTCGGATTCGCCTCTAGGCGCCTCTATTCGAGAAGCTTGGAAGGCCAGGCAGTCAACAACGGCACAGCAAGAAATGACTCGGAAACGCGAGTCTCTGCCTGCTTGGAAAATGCAAGATGCTATCATACAAGCCGTGAATACGCATCAAGTCATCATTATTTCAGGTGAAACAGGAAGCGGCAAGAGTACTCAGTCAGTGCAATTTGTACTAGATGATATGATTAAACGTGGCTTAGGCGGCGTTGCGAATATCATCTGCACGCAGCCACGCAGAATTTCAGCACTAGGTCTAGCTGATCGAGTCAGCGATGAGCGATGCACCTCGGTGGGAAAAGAAGTTGGATATATCATTCGTGGAGACTCCAAGGTGAAGCCTGGCGAAACGAAGATCACCTTTGTCACTACTGGTGTCCTACTTCGTCGCCTGCAGTCTGGGAGTGGGCCGGATGGCAATGTCGCAGGCTCTCTGGCGGATGTTACACATGTGGTAGTAGATGAAGTTCACGAACGAAGTCTCGACACTGACTTTCTCCTGGCTCTCTTGAGGGACGTGCTCAGATACCGACCAGATATCAAAGTCATCCTAATGAGTGCTACTCTGGATGCAGAGATCTTCATGAACTATTTCGGGGGTCGCGAGAAAGTTGGCCTAGTGAACATTCCAGGTCGAACATTCCCAGTTAGCGACTATTACCTGGATGATATCGTCCGGGTCACTGGTTTTGCACCGGAACTGGCCGAACGTGGTCTTGACGAAGACGTCATGTCTCCTCCTCAAGGCGATGAACCCTTAGGCAAGCTGCTTCGCGGCCTTGGTATGGGTATCAATTACGAATTGATTGCGTCCACTGTCCGATATATCGACTCTCAATTGGGAGACCTGCCAGGGGGAATTCTGATATTCTTACCCGGAACTATGGAAATTGACAGATGTTTGAATGCAGTGCGGAAGATACCCAATGTTTATCCGCTCCCGTTACATGCGTCCCTGCTCCCGGCAGAGCAAAAGCGTGTCTTCCTCAGCCCTCCTAAAGGCAAGAGAAAGGTCATTGCTGCCACTAACGTTGCCGAGACGTCTATCACCATTGAAGATGTGGTCGCGGTCATCGACACTGGCCGCGTTAAAGAGACTAGCTACGACCCGAAGGACAACATGGTGCGCCTCCAGGAAGTCTGGGCTTCCCAGGCGGCGTGCAAGCAACGACGAGGACGTGCCGGTCGTGTGAGGGCTGGTTCGTGCTACAAGCTGTACACGCGCAAAGCCGAATCGAGTATGCCCCAGCGACCAGAGCCTGAAATTCGCAGAGTCCCACTGGAGCAACTGTGCCTGTCAGTCAAAGCCATGAAAAGCATAGACGATGTCGCTACCTTTTTGGCGAACACCATCACGCCGCCTGAAAGCGTCGCTGTCGAGGGTGCCCTGGATTTCCTGCATCGCGTCGGCGCTCTAGATCATGACAGGTTGACGGCACTCGGACGATACCTATCCATGATCCCCGCCGACCTACGCTGCGCCAAACTCATGGTCTACGGCTCCATTTTCGGCTGCATAGATGCCTGCGTCACTATATCAGCTATACTGACGGTGAAGAGCCCATTCGTATCACCCCGCGACAAGCGCGACGAAGCCGACGCCGCCAAAGCATCCTTCTCCAAGGGCGACGGGGATCTCCTCACCGAGCTCGCCGCATACCAGCAGTGGTCAGACCGAGCCAAAGCAC